AACTTACGACGCAAGTACAGTTTGAAACAAGCTGAGAAATAAAATTAATTTACCTTTACCTGTGCATTTTGAGAGCACTCTGTGTCTTATGACTGGGGATATTAAAAGAAATCGTGCTCAAATCACATCAACTAACACATAAAGATATTAAAGTACACCTTACATGCATGTTATCATTCTTGCTGGGGATATCGATTAAATTGGAAAGAGATGCATTTAAAGTCGAAAAATCGAAGAAACTTTTAGGGCGTGTGCAAATCTGACCTATTTTGACCCCAAGAGCAGGTGCGCCGAAATGTTCCAATGCTATGCGGGCTAAAAATATAAACAACTATATAACTATTAAACTGCATGTTGAATAAAAAATAACCCGGGGCCTGTGCTGTGATGCGCAGACTCGCAACTCGCAGACTCGCAATATAGACCCATTGCACTTGACGTCACAGCGCCAGTAACGATGCATCTTACATACTTTCATAATGCAACTTTTGTAAGCAAAGCAAATTTTGTAAAAGTTTATAATAATTTTGTATTAAAATGGTTAATTTTTTCGCTGTATATGGTTGTTGTACCCGAACAGATATTGTTATAGGTAGCATCTGGAGGACACTCTAAGGATGTGTGACTTCAGTGCAAAGGGACAAAGGGTCTATAGCCGACCTCAGAAAAACAGTTGGTTTATTCAATAATATCTGTGTACTATATATTATATCTTACATATTTGATTGTGTCTTCTTACATTTAAATTTGGCAACTCTAACTCATTAAGTATACTTTTGTATCCCTGCTGACTTACAACTAAAACACTCACACAAAAGTTCTGTTTCGCCTTCATTAACCTTTAACCCACCCGCAACTCCGCCGAAAGAGCGAAGATAAAAACATAAACAATATAGAAAAATATTGAAAATAACAGAAAAGCAAAGTCTGTGAAATTAGACCTTGTGTATATAATAAAACAGTTATTTTATCAGCTCTTATTTTTTACCCTGCTCGGTTTCCTTTGTTCTTATCGGGGAATATATTCAATATTCCCCTCTAATCAATTTCCGTTTAATAATCCCCTCTAATATTCACCTGCAATTAATAATCCCCTCTAATATTCATCTGCAATGTCTTAGCAGCACAAAAAAAATGAGAAAAAAACAACATAACGAAGGCAATATGACATTAAGAATTATTTCTATTCTTACTCATTAATGCGACCTCGCAGTGTGAAAAATAAGTACGTTATTTTGAGGCACCTCGGGGATATATCACATATCCCCTCGTTGCCTCAAAATAACCTATACAAATTGTCTGGTATCGGGGGAAAACATGGTTTCAGCTCATACAACTTTCATGAAACGTTTAACAACTGGTAAATGCCCAAATGGCATATTTACATCATGCTACTGTAGAAGACTGGACAAGGCACTTCGTGTTTGTTAACAGAACTATAAGACATACCAGAGTCAGATAACTGCGCCAAAAAATCCACCGCAAATGTAACAGGCGGCGATATCATATCACACTTATCTTGCGCGCAAAATTCTTGCCATTTGATAATTTGAGATTGATACCGACTATGAGTACCTGCTCTCCAGGATGCCAATATAATTTTTATGGAGCTTTTGGACAATCCTTGGGCTTTAAGTGTCTCCCCGATAAGAGACAAATAAGAAGTTCCATCTTTCTGCACGAAGTGGATGAATCAGGGGCTGATGGAAGTCTCTAATGCTTCGACAAGACATGTGGAATTGAGCATCCACTCAGTATCAACACTGATAAAATTTCGAGATGCATGGTCAGCGTCAACATTAGTGGCTCCTGGTAGATGGGCAGCTGTGAGCCATATATCATTACGAAAACAAAATTCCCAAATTTTTCTGGCCATTAAATGACAGCTGTCACTGTGTACACTGCCCATATGGTTAATGAGAGCTACTGCAGTGGTGTTATCAACCAGGATTTGTACGTGTTTGGTAGTAATAGAAACCTTAAAACATTTCAACGCCAACAGAACAGTGTGTAATTCCAGGACATTAATGTGGCATTTTGCCTCTACAGCTGTCCATCTACCCCCTGTTGATATTTCCTCCTGAACAGCACCCCACCCTTTCAATGATGCATCTGAATATAAAACAACATCCACAGGTGGGTATCTTATGGGATTGAAACTGGTATCAATATGATTTAACCACCAGTCAAGTTCATACTTAGCATTTTCCGATAGAGATATAAAGGCATCAAAATTTCCTTTACATGATTTAAGTGCAGCAATTTTTTCTTTTTCTAAATACTTGTAATAAAGTGCCCCATACATTATCGCAGGGAGGCTGGCAATAAGACAGCCAATAAGTTTAGCAACCAAACGTTTTTGGGGTTTTTTTGGGGGTTTTTTATGACGTATTGAGTCTATAGTCTGTTTGACCAGTTCTTTTATGTGTTTTATTTTCTCAGGTGTCAATCTTATTGTCATATAGATTGAGTTAATGACAAAACCTAGCAAAACAACTCCTGTACTGGTATGAATGTTGACTTGTCTGGATGGGGTACAAGCCAAACATTGTCAAACACTTTTACTGTTTGTACTACATTAGCAATGCATTCCTTTTTTAAGTTCAAAATAAGACGTATACCACCATCCTTCTTAGGAACAGTGAATATTGGTGTAATAAATTCTATAGGAGCATGATGGCACTCCTGAATAACATTCTTTAATAATTGTATGCTCGATTGGGCCGGGGAGGGTAATGGCCCCTCCCCTGATGCGGTAAAAAATGAGGGCGTGACGTGCTTGCTGAATTATAATTTGCTGATGATCTTGGCTTTCCACTGGTAGGCATATGTGTTAAGTTATTCACAACCTTGCTTGTTGCTCTTAAGTCCTGTTAGGCTTTAGAGAGGTCATCACCCAAAAGTGATTTCTCTATTTTATTGTTACGAGAGCATGCTGGTTTGAATTCATTTGTCAGACTTGGTCGGATCTGGTCTCTTCGTTTGAACGAAAGTTCTTTATGAACATGCCCAATAAGAGCAATGCAGTCGATCAAGTTAGACATAACAGATTTGTAATCAGGAATTGATCGTTTCTCTCGACAGTCTAAAAGTGTGTTCAATGAGATAATTACAGCATTTGACACTCTGAGTAAGAGGTCTTGTAAGGTTGACATCTTTATGTCTCGCTGCTTAGTTGTTGGGTTTAATTTTCCCCATATCTCCGGGTTAACACGTGGCACATAAAGTGCCTCACAATTTTTGGGTGTTTTGTACTTTTCAGAAAGTTGTTTCCTTTTTTCAAGGTCAAGATCCTTCACAAACTTAGTATTCACTAGTTGTGAAAGTTTTTCAATAACTTGTGGTCCATGATCCTCAGTGGGACAGAGTAATTCACCTATTTTTGTCAGAAGACTGGTATTGTCTTCATCCTCACTCATTGGCCCGGCAAGATCAGGGTCATGCTCATCCCCATGTACACTTGACCTGTCGTCATTTTGCTCACTTGTGTGTTGCTCACTGTCTGACTCTGAGACCGAATTTGTTGCTTCCTCTGAAGCATTGTTAGTTTCTTCCTCTGAAGCATTTGTAGTTGCTGTCTCTGCAGCTATATCTTGTAAGCCTACCTGAGGTTGTGTATCATTCGAGTCATATTTCTGACGTTTGCTCGAGCTGGCCGAAGCCGTGACACTACTGGTGTTAGCTCGTTTTTCGCCTTGGTGTTCGGCCACTAAAATGGACAATAACGCTGTTTGTGTAGACATAGTCTTCTGTAAAGACGACAAGAACTCATGAAAATCTGCCCTATTATGCCCAGGGTCTTTGTTTGCTTGTTCGGGCATATCTAAGTCGTCAGACTCGTCATAATCAAGACGACTTTCAAGGTCATTCGGGTCATCCGAATGAGCCGCCATGTTGCCTAAATAAACAGCATAAAAATAATCAAACCATGCAAAATACAAGACAAAATTGTGATACTTAGCTGAAAAACTGCAACAGAAATAGATATTTATTTTGAGGATACATTACCAACGGTTAGAAATAGTAAAAATGTTTTTTTCCGCGCAAACTGCACAAGTGGTTTTGCGCATGCGCTGCACTCTCTCTCGTACAACTCCGGAACGACCGAGTTGATGACGAAGTAGAATTTTCACAGCTTGTTATGAGTCGTCGTCATGCCTAATCAAATTCTTCCGACATCTTCCAACATCGTTGGTCCAACAATTTAAATGAATTCAAACATGAACCATTATCATACAACAGCAACAAACATAATATTCAAGTCAGGGTATATTTCATCCAAGTACCGCGGCAATCTCGCATTTTTCTGACTTACATTTTGTTGGGACCATACGACTAGCAAACTTTACAAGATATTCAAAGCCGTAATGATATTCAAAGCCATAAGATGCTACTAAGACATGTTGAAATCAATTGTATGTGCTTATATATTCCCCTTGTTTTGATTTGTTTTGCTCTTAATCGTATGCATCATATTGCAATGATCTGTTTTCCTTTTTAAGGTCGAAGATGTGCCAGAGTTAGTGAAAGGAGAAATTTACTGTGTGTCCTGTGGTGAAAACTTCATTCAACCCAAAGGTGAGTGTCTCAATCATGATTCTTTACGAACTCGTGCTAATAAATTTATTTTTTCGCATTATCGGGAAACATCAAAACTGAGTAACAAGAGTACTGTACCGTCTATTAGGTACAGTGCTCTTCGTCTAAAGACAGTTTTTAAAACTGTGTTTTTTAAAGAATAAAAAAGAGTTATACAGTATAAAACCATGTTCACAAATTAAGGAATAAGACTGCCTATGTCACGTGATTGAGTTGGGAAAAAATCTTACAGGGATGCAACACCATCCATTTTGCTAAAAGATTTAAAGGCATATGTTAAGGAGTTGCATCAGTCTGGAGACTTGATTTAGTTAAATAACTCAATTTCGTCAAAACCAACTTAGACAAAACGTTAGTAAGCTGTCGAATTATAGAGCCTATTATATTTTGTTATATAGTTACTGCCAAAGTTCAATTTATCTGTTTGCCGACTGGTCAAAACCGTATCACGTGCCGGTCCACAAAACGTCAGGTGCACAATGAAACATTTATTGACCGGTCAATTTATTGACCGGTCAAATGGGTGCAATACGCATGCGTGTCAACCATGAAGTTCCATAGTTCATTTTTTAAGACATTTGAACAGCAGTGAATAGTACTTAAAAGTACTTTTTAAACCTTTGAAAACAAACAAGGGTCAGTCAAGTGTGCAAACATTTTTGTCTCGAGTCGCTAGAATTAAACCGATCGTTAAATTTTTTAGGCAAACAATAAGTTACAACGTGTTCCTTACCTCGAAAATAATTTAATGCAGTACTCACCTTTATGTTGTGAAATATTCAAAAATTTGTTCCTGACTACTACGAATCGAACTCCTTCCCCGCTTCAGTGACTTTGTACGCCATGTTGAATATTTCAACCACACTCGCTCGTACAAGCCCAAGACGCGGTAGAAATATGAAACAAGCCGTACAGATTTAGTCAAAACTTAATCAAAGCGAAAATGGTAAAAGTTTTCTTGCAATTCTCTGTATGTAGCACCTTCCCTCGTTCGAAAAGTATAAGCGCCATATTTTGTTAAATTCTGCTGTGTAACTAAACCACCATGATCCTTAGCAATTCCGCAATTGGCCAATTGATTTCAGTCTAATTACACTCCACTCAAGTAAATTAACATTATTTCAGATCGTGAAAGTGTTATTGCACGAAAAGCAACGTGGTCAAGACTAAACCGTCAGACAGGTGGAGCAATGGCATACAAACTTCACGAGGTATTTTGTTCGAAAAAATATCATGTATCATTCATTTTATCTTTTAACCCGTAATCCTGTATATAAGAAGCGGTGCGTTTTCCTTCAAACGATACTGTTTTGTTTAATTTTTTGTTTTCATTTTTTTTTCTCTTAATTTCTTTTCATTTCATTTGCTTTGTTTAATTAATTAATTATTTGCTTGTATCTTTGTCCTATTTCGTTTCTCTCTATAAAGATGTATGTTCAGTTGTTTTTTGATCATCTCGTTTCTTTGTTTGTTATTTTATTGATAAGAACCTCAAACGGGAATTAGAATTGCACCTCTCGCTCGTGTTTCACCATGCACCATTTTAAAAACACAAACATTAGTCAGGGTTCAGAACATTAACAGGTACAATCAGTTAAAATTCTCCGAATCTAAAAACAAAAGTTCCAGGCCTTGAGACACATTGGCTGTATAAAGAAGTACTTGAAAGTCCTTAAATTCTTCTTTCTTTAGTTTTTGCGTGCATTGGTACATATTCTTTAAATGTTTGACATTACGAAACGGACATTTTGTTGAATTGCATGATTTTGTTCATGTACTCCAAAGTTTGAACAGGTTTACGTCACTTTTCACTGATTTCTAATGGCTTCTTTTCAGGCTTTTAGTCCTTGAATGACCGGATATCCTTGTCATTAAATTGTACTCTTCGTGACCATGTACGAAAGCTGCTTAATCCGATCTCTCAACCCAAAGTATAAGGTTTATATTTAATGTCCCATCAATATAGCCCACAGGATAAATGTCAATTTCTCACAAGAACAATCTACTGTAATTAAAACTGCTATCCTGTCTTCCTTCCCACCCACTTTCATATAAGGAATGGAAAACAAGGCTGCTAGGTTAATTAACTCTCATCGACTCTCATGTCTCATCTTGAGCTGGTTGAAATTTTGATGAGAGTCTTGAGAGTAAATGGTAATATTCTGTCAATTCTCAAGATCGAGATCCTATTATGGTTTCAATCTTTATGATCAGGCCATCCTTGAATGTTGAGAAAACTGTCATCAATTCTCATCCTCGTGTGACATGCAAGGCTTTGTAATTCGCACAATGTTTTATATAATATGGTTTCTTTTTTTCAGAGAGGTCCAAGTTTGGCGTTGGCCTTAACAACCACGGCAAATCAGTTTAGTTCTTATTGAAAGCTGGAATTGTTTGGATCTTCACAGCAGTTGTGTGGCAACATATTGCCAACCTTCGGATTTGGATTTTTAACGCGTGTATATATTTATCTTAATTTTATCATTAATGAAAACTTTTATAAATTAATTTATGATGTTATAATAATATAATATACAAAAAAATGACGTCGTATTATTTTGATCGGTGGAAGTTTACCGACATCGTTTTCACTTTTAAGGAACTTTCCCTAAACTGGGGAAATTTAGACAATTCGTTCACTAACAATGCAAAATGTTTAAGGAAATTTAACTGAATCAGAGATAACTGAAGGAATGTTTGGCAAATGTGAAGCGAGAGAACTTGTTTACCAAATCAATTTCCCGCCTTTTTCCACCAGAGTCGATAAAAGAACTAAAGAACGAAAGTTTATATTTAGTATATTTGTACATACAAAGCTATCAATCTCCTCTGATTTTGACTAACTGTAACGGTTATTAGCGTCTGAAGACAGTGAATTATACAGTAGTCAATACCATTGGCATTGTTGTTTGTGTTTGATATATCGCACAAATATCGTTATCCGTAAAAGGGAGATAACCTGCCAGTATTTTATCAAACTGAACACCAGCAGTCTGTCTCTCTTAATACAAAACAGATACTTGTTGCCGCTCATTGGTTACCGCTTACACTCCCTATATTCCTGTAAATAGATGCCAATATCACCAAACTGTATTACCAAATTTAATTAATCCCAACTTCGTTTACTAGTGGTAGAACATTTAGCTAGCGTAACGTGTCTAAGTGTCTTATGAAATAAAAACGCAGGGCAGTAGCAATTCCCTGTATTTTCGCATTTTCTTGATCGAGTCCTGGACTCCTGGCTCGAATCCTGACTCGAACAATAGTATACTATATCTCTATTTTTTATTTCAAATCCCAAGTTGTTTCTTGATTGGTGAATTTATGCTTGTTTTAAGTAAAATATTATTTTTGGCAAGTAAAAAATTTCCAAATCTTTTCTTAGCAAGTACGTACGTACGGTAGCTATATTGTAAACACTGGCCTAGACTTTGGACTTTGACACCATCAACGATTGGTGTTGCCAACTTGTGCATAACCCATCGTCAAGGCTAGGGTTGTGGATTGAAATAGCTGAAATCAGGAAGTATATTATAAAAGGCTGTGGCTTTTGGTATTCATTAAAAGTTTTTAGAAAAAAATATCGTGCATGCATGCAAGAATGCTGAGATTAAAAAAAATATCCTGCAGAGATGTATACAAGTACAAAAAATATCGATTACTAAAAATTCACGCACCCCCCACCGCTTCCCATCAAAAATCCAATGGTCTAGCACCAAGTCATGACATTAACATTGCGCGATGGCATACTTCTAATCTCGGACCCGGATTCGACGAAAATCCGGGCTCGAGAAAACCCAGGACTCGAAATAGAAAACACTGGTTCCATACAAGGACTCTGCATGTGTACGAGAATGCAAAGGCTTTTTACGAAGGTTTAATAATAATTAACACGATATAAAGCGATGATCTCTTTATAACAGCCAGTATACATTTTAAATACATTTCTAGAGCGCTGTTAAACTATATCTGGCGTAGTGCTGATAAAGAATCTCAGACGAGTTGCATCGGCAATAATTCGAAGACAGTTGTACCCTCGCGCGTGTCCCTCTCTCTTCCCGTTTTCTGTATTGATAGATATAGATATATTAGGATATCTATTTATTAATCGATAGACATATTAGGATATTTTATTTCAACAGGGAACCCAATCAGCACACTGGCTGGTATTCATCTCTATTAATACCAGCCAGTGTCCTGATTGGGCTCCCTGTTGAAATAAAGTATATAGCCCTGCATATAAGAAAATAGTTACATTCATAAAAGCTAACTTACCTACCATTACATTAAAATGTTATTTCCAATGATTGACGTTATATATCCAAACTATAATATAGACGAAAATATATCCAAACTACAATATCAATTTCATGCTAGTAGGCCTACTAATTTTTTCTAATAGATAATTAAGAAATAGAAAACATTTTCCGTGTTTCTATAGAGTTACAGAAACACGCGTGAAAGTTTGCGAGAAACTCGAAATTGCGTGGGACACGAGCACAAGTGCGAGTGTTTCCACGCAATTTCGAGTTTCTCCCAAACTTTCACAAGTGCTTCTTTAAACTCTATAGGAACACGGAAAAAATGTTTTCTATTTCCTTTATTAAATAGCCTTTTAAAAACAATAGAAAATGATAAAGTTATAGATTTTAATTTCTTTCATTCAAATATTAATTCCACCTATATACGTTCGTGTAAAGAATAATTCAGGCTTTCTTGCCATCCTACTTTTCCTACTTTTTCCTACTTTTCTTCAACTTTCCTACTTTTCCTATTTTTTATTAAAAATTGCTTGATTTTCCTACTTTTTCCTACTTTTTCTCATAAAATCCTACTTTTTTAAGACAGCTTGGGGAATCAGTATGTTATAGCTCTCGTAATTAGATCTACAGGACTCGTAATTTTTATTCCCTAGTTGTGTCCCAGATGATAAGATCTCAGGAGGAGAAGAAGTACATTTTCCGAGTATAAAATTTCATAGCATCTCTAGAATCATAATCAATAAATTAATGAAGACTCTGAAAGTGCCAATTCCGACGATCTAGAGATTCCAAATATTCAACTCCCCCCAGTTAATCAAGCATCATATATACATGGCCGTAGCAACTGGGCCTGGGGGGCTGCAGCCCCCCAATAATTTGCTAATAATATTTTTTTTTTCAAAATCATGCAGACCTTTATCATTTAATCCATGACAAACTGCAAAGAATGAAGATATTACCCATACTTTCCTGCAACTTATCCAATATATAGTTAATTAAATACGCCTTCGCCCATTTAGTACTACTAAATTGTAAATTTCGACATACTAATTAAAACGCTGTTTTCTGACCATTAGAATTCTGTCAATCTTGCCCAAAGTCCAGGAAATGGCATTTCAGAGGCTCTAAATTTAAAAATTTCCTCGGGCTTTCGGCCCTCGCTTTCAGCCCCCCCCCCCCCAATCGAAAAGAGCTTTCTACGGCCCTGATATATGCTCCTGCCGCAGTGTGGATAGGTGCATTGTGTAGCCCAATACATGCATTTGAATTGTGTTGCAGCTGCAGAGCAGATGCCTTAGGTTTTATACCGATGCAATTTAAAAGTTTTGAGAAATAAATCCTGCATAGATGAATGAGTACATAAAAATATTGAGCACCAAAAATTCACACAACTTCCCCATCAGATATCTAATGGTCTACCCCTTACACATATATCCTAGGGGGCCAATTTTGTATATTTTTGTGTTATTTGCATCTCCAAAGCTCCTACTTTTGTCCTACTTTTCTACACATTTTCCTACTTTATTCCTACTTTTCCTAAAATTCTAGTCCTACTTTTGTCCTACTTTTCTACACAAGGAAGCCAGAAAGCCTGGACACAGCCAAGCAAATCTCTGTGGAGTCCCCTACTTAAGGTGGCTTTTTGACTAAAAAATTACTGTAGGGCCCCTCTAACCCCCTTAATGAGTAAAATCACATACCTGCCATTAGTCATAATACAATAATAAAATTGGGAGCATTACAGCTAATCAGTTAATTTTAAAGCAAAAAAGTAAGCCTATAGCCTTAACTTTCCGTCCATTTTTACCGACTTATGGCTTTTTTGCTGTTTTTTTCCCACTTATGAAAAATGCCATAAGTCGGTAAATAAAAAGTATATGGTCAGAATTTCGCCTGTATGAAATAGTCAAATAGAGGTGTGCAAATCCGATTTGTTCGGATTTCGGAACCAAAATATTCATTTTGGATCGGATTGATAAAGTTGTTTCGTAGTTAATTAATAAAGTAAAAAAAGCAACTTGTGGTTCCGGTTTCATATCGCGTAGTCCCCCCCCCCCACTTGTGACGTCAGGTACATACAGTGAACTCTATATATATATATATATATCTGGAACGATAACATTCAGTCATTTGATTGTGAAAACAATGAAGCCTCGATACCAGTCTTTCACGCGGATTGGACGTCAGTCTCAGTCCCTCAAACGTCAGGTTTACGCGGATTGGACGTCAGTTTCATTCCCCCTCTTGCAAACCGTTGCACGGCCAGTATAAATGAACGCAATCACGAAAAAAATTAAAAACATGGCCAATTCAATGCAATACATTTTAGGAGCAAACTGTTTTGCTCCTAAAATTTACTGCATTGAGTTCGCTGTCGGAAAAAAGTCGAGGAAAACTTCCCCGTGTGGAGAAAAGAATAGGCTTTTTCAAATATATTGTGTCGTTCTGGATGCACAAGGAAAGAGATATTCTTGCAAGGAAAATTTCATTTCACAGGTAGGTAAATTGACTTGCAACTGTGACTTTGCCATTTTTCACGATTGTTTGAATTGTTTTTTAGTTTACCAGTTTTATAGTTTTTAGTCAATACACTGGTACGTTATTTTTTAAAGAATTTATGGTGTGATCGGAATTTGCCTGCCAGCAAAATGTAAATGAATATGTACGTGTGTTTGAATATAAATTAGACCATATGGGCTTAGTAAAAACTTATTTTAATAACTACGTTTCGGAGTATAACTCCATCTTCAGGTTAAAAGTGAATAAAGATATAAAAACTGTGATAAAAACTTTCAAAACAATTACAAATTTTATATGTAAGTGATTCAGTGCTTCCATTTTTAAAATCAAAATTTCTCATTTTTGTCATCAAAATTTCTCTAAATTCCTTAGATTGTATCTGTTATTTCCTTGAAAATTCCTTGAAATTTCATGAAGCAGTTTGCAGTGATTTTGTAGCAATACAAAGGATTTAATTAATTTTCAAGGCACAAAATACCACAATTAACAAAGATATGGGCTAGCTAAAAACCACAGGCTATTATACTGTTTAAAATTAAATATTTGTTATGAATTTACAAGAGATACCTTTACATTGAT